GTATCATTTTATTGGCTATTGTTATGTTTTTACATTTATTATATTGTTTTTAGAATCCCATATAAAGAGTATTTTGATAATTAATTGTAAGTTGTAGACAATTATATTTGATTCACATAGAGTTTGATTTATTTTCTTTATTTGAATGCTAATATAAATAACTAATTTCAATAATAATTCAATAACTTATTATTAATAACTGTAAACAAAGTTAGTGTTTTATAACACAAAATACAAATTAAATAATTGATTATTTTGACACATTTCTAATGCCATAATATTAAAATATAACAAATTAACTGATAAACTTAATGGGTAGTATACTTTCACAAAAATAAAACATAATAAAATATTTGATAAACCCACAATCTTTCTACGGAACAGTTATCTGTAATTTCAATTTCAAACAGTTAACTGCAATTATTCTATTCAACTCAAACCGTCCAGGATTAAAATATGGTGTAATAGTTAGGTATTTCGGGTATTGGGATTGTGGGATTAAGTGTAATAGATGAAATAATATTAGTCATGGAGCTCGTTATTTATCAGAAAACTCAAAATAAACCATGTTTAATAATTTTCATTAGTTAATCATCATTGTTAATAAATCTTATAAAATAATTGATTTAGTTATTTTTCAAATTTTATTAATACAAATGATATAGCTTTATAATGATTTTATAAATCTCTAGATATAATTTTTAAAATCATATTTTGATATTATTATTTCTTATTGAAAATTATAGTGAATATTACATTCAGTATAAAATAATATAAAAATATAAAACAATGACAGCTGGTAATTCTAATAATACAACAACCTAGTTTAGTTTACTTTACAAAATTAACCTAAACCAAACTAGAGATATCACTTTAATTCTCATAGGGGTCAATCCGTCTCTTATTCAACCTCGACCATTTTCTCCAACGGCTTAGAGACCAACTCAATAATAGCGGTGGTGATCGTGATAACAGAGTATCCGAGCCATAGTCCGCCTAAACCCCCAAAATCACACACCAATTGTATAAACGTAACACTGGGTGAGTGTCTGTACACCTGATCCAACACCGGCTTCCGGCGCACCTGAAGGCCCGTCAGGTTATTGTGTGAATACCAGGGAATGTCAGCGAACAGATCAAACTCGTACTTCTCGTCCAGACAGTCCTTTTGGCATTTGCTCTCACAGTGCAGCCTATGGTTAGTAAATTGACATTTATTGATTTTGGCGCAAAATTTATCATCATGCTGCAATAGGGACGGCCGGTATAGTAAACCACTCCGGGGCAGGCAATGACACTCTGACCGGTATTTTTCAATTACACATTTTGTGAAACAGTCGTCGAAGGACTGATGAGTTTCGTTTATGCCTTAAGATACACAATAAACGCACATATTATATTTATACGTACAAGTTAGAAATAAGTTTATAATTACGTTTAAAAAATTAATACAATTACACTCAACACATGAAACATACCTGTCTTATAATACTGGCAATTGGTCTCATAGGGCGGCTCCAGATTGTGTATAACAGTCTTCTGAAACTGCAAGTCATATATACGGGACCACTGATACACGGGAAGAGAGGGGTAGAAAGTGGGCACCGGTATAGAGTTGGGCGGATGTATGAGCGCTCGGCCCCGGAAGTCCACCTCGAATGGATGGGCGGGCAGTGATGTGTTGAGGGCGTGACTGACGTACACCACTTTGTTTGTGCGGTGCTCGAAGTTGCGTTGGGAGAAAAACACCGAGGTGATAAATTTGTCCTTATTCTCATCGGTGACGTAAGTGTCCAATTGGGACATGAATGTGAAGCACCGGAAGTCGCCGTTAATTGACTCAATGGGTGCGACGACGGACTCGCAGTAATCCATTTTATAGCCCAATTCGTGGACCGGATGGGCGTCTAAGAGACACTCGTCGTACCGCCCGTACGACCACTCCGTCAACAGTTCCAGTATTGTTCGATTGGACATTACTTTCTCTTCAAAGAATTTGTACAGATATTTGCCTTCAAAATAATATATTAATTACATTAATGTACTTCAAATTACAATAATTAATTAATATTGTTTTTGTTTAAAATTTATTATATTGTTTACATTTTTAGTGTAATTATTATAATATCTTTTAGTATAATATTAGATATTAAAAAAACTTTTAATTGTCATTTAGCAATTGATATCATTTTTAATAATAATAAATATCTTAAATTTTAAAAATATATAATTATTAAATATTGAAGTTAATAAATTGACAAAATAAAATATGTGATCGCTATGCAGTTGTAAATTATCCAAAAATAACTTTATAATCTGATATCATAATTAATGTTTTAATTAAAGCTAGCTTAAGGTCTTGATCCACCTTTAAATTCTCTCTCTCTCTCTCTCTCTCTCTCTCTCTTTCGTAGTAAATAAATGTCAATAAAATAATTATAGAGTATATAATATAACTGTAAATATATTTATTGAAATCTCAATTATGTTCAAGGTTCTAAAATATTTTTATTTTTATTATCGAATTGACAATCATTAAATACTACTTATAATTGAAACAAATATAATTTCTACTAATGCTAACTACTTTTAAAACATTAATGTAACTAAAAATAAACTAGTTATAGTTACAAACAAACAAAACTTACCCCTCATTTTAAACTTATTAACTGATCCGGAGTCGGGTTTAGTCCAAAAGTTTGGATCATTTCTCTGAACCGAAGCATTTTTAATAGCTTTGACGGCTTCCACGTAATCGGGAAACAATTCCTGGAGTCGGAAATGTGGCAAAACATCGGCCATACATATGGTTAGGGACGGGTAGCGGAACCGGTATTCTGCGGGTATCTCGTGAGCAAACGATACCGTCGTTTTGTATTCCCAGTACTGTTTGAGAGCCAAATGAAAATGATATGCAAAGCCGATGATAGAGATGGTAAATATAAGGACCAAATGGGGACGTATGCGGCAAATGGCCCGCATTCGGCGTTTTATAACGCCTTCGTTATGAGTGCCCTTTGTCTGGCCGTCCATCTTAAAGCTTTCCATCAGATGAGTTACATTAGCACAAACTCACAAAAAGGGTACTTGTTGATTTTTTATGTGTCTCTAAATTATCACTTTGCGATCGGGAAAGGCTATATAAATATACATTAATATATTTTATTCATTGAACACATAAAATATCATGATATTGGAGGGGATTTCCACTCTCTATTGAATATAATTGGTATGACATAAAGCATGTATATAAGTATAGTATTCCGGTTTATTCTTGGATGCACTCCTCCCCTACCTGTCCCCTCATACTTATCCCTCCCAATCCATTAAGAGTAAGTGATCAAAATGTTTAGTGAAATGATGGGAAAACTTGATAAACTTTTCACCAGAATTTGCTCATCGGTGTGAATTTATTCTGTGTATTCAACTGTCAATAGACAGTAATGTATGTAATTTTTTGGTGTAAACAATAGAAATTGTTTTTAAAAAAAGTTTATTGGTATTTTATTTGTGGAGAAACCCCCGATGAAAATAATGGATCTCGTTGTCCATCCCTTTCTATTATGTGCAGTCAAAATGATTGAACATTTAATTGATATTTTTGCTTATCTTGCGAGAGAGAGAGAGAGAGAGAGGGTGAGAGAAATTAAAGTATTTTTCTAATGAATTAAGATAAAGCATTAAATCTAGATATAACTTATACAGTATGTCATTGAAATCTATGTACTGTACATTATATTGGCAACGTTGTGTTAGTTGACGACCTAGAGTACTTGCCAACAAATGCAAAACTGTGATTTCTCAATTGTAACTATACTCTCAGTTACCCATAAATAGTATTTTTCATTTGAAATGTTTTAAAATGTGCTAAAATATACAATAATTTTAATTAATAACCACTATGTGAAATACAGGGTATTTATTTGTTGTCTACATCATCTACACCAAACCACAGCAACATTTTATTTAAGTGTTACAACAAAATTTAAATTATTTAACCTTGGATTTAGTAATTCACTAATGTAATATTTAAGGCCCCATCGTTTATTACATTCATTAAAATAATTACTAGTTGTATTATCTTATAGTTTTACCTATACTTTCTCTCTCTCTCTCTCTCTCTCTCTCTCTCAAAAACCAAAACTTTTATGTTTTGAATGCTAATAAATATTTAAACTCTATAAAACATATTTGTATACAATAAATATTTTATATTATTTACATAAAGTATATATTGATTAATTAAAAATTAATTAATTAAATATTTTATTATATTGTATATTACCAAATTTGTCACATTATTACTATTTATTTAATTTATTATAATTTTTACATACATCTAAGATTACATATAATATATTCATAATATTTTTATAGAAACGAATATTTTGTTATATAATGTTTAGTCATATATAAATTTCAATGTCATTAACACATTGTCTCCATACAAATGATTTATCTTATATTATTCAACAATTTCTGAATATATTGACAGCTAGATAAATATACGTTTGCTAAGTTATGTAAAATTATTTTGCATAATAAATAAATGTAATTTTCATATTTAATTGAATTTGAAAGCAATTTTTAAACAATAACGAGTTAATGTTTTAAATAAATTGCCTAGATGGTATAGGCCTCACCTCAACTGATATCTTTTACAAAGTGTGTGACAAAATCTATACATTTTTATTTTGTATAATTTTAATTGGAATAAAACTAAATGATATCTATAAAACTAACTAGTTTATAATTTTATTTTAAGATTACATTAATTGGCTTGAAATAAAAATTAAAAGTCCATTTACAAAATTACTTTTATTATATTTATGCACTATTCAAATAACATTTAAGTTTAAAAATAATTTTAATTGGAATAAATATTATTGTTATACATTATGCTGTATATGTGTGGGTTGTTTTTGTTTAGATAAACTATATTTATTATAAACCACTAATTAAAAAACAATGGTAAAAACATTAATTTATAATAAGTTTCAATTCATTCAATCCGTATTTATCTTTGTTTTCATTGAATAATTGACGCAAATTATCGATATATTTGTTGTGGAGTTCATTGATCTGTTGGGACGACGGGTTCTCTACTTTGGCCACAGATATAGGCTTTCCAACTAAAATAATTGATACAAATATAATAATTTTAAATTAATTATAATTATTATTATACTTTAATATTATATAATGTATATTATTTGTCTGGAAGTTAATGATATAATTACTAATCTTATGTAAGGAACAATAAATAGTCGTTTATTATAAAGCATAAGTTTATTATAAAGTGCTAAAAGTGCTATTATTTTTAATTAATTATAAATTAAACAAATAACGGGTATATTTACTACTTTAATAGTAAGTAAATTAAAATATCATTGTCCATGTCCAATAACGTCATCATGTATCATTGATATATATTTTTATATAAATTAAATAAGCAATAATAAAACAATTTACCCACGGTTATAACGGGATGTCTGTTTGGTAAGTATGACTTAAGAACAGGTAAAGTGTAATAATATCTATTCAATAGCCATTCCTGGAATCGCCGGAAACGAGACTCCGATGGGAACACTATCTGGTCGTAGATCTCATTCTCGCCAAACGTGAGCACCGGTACCAGAGATGTGCTATTATGCAAAGATAGGTCATTGAGTGTACAAATAATGCATTTATTGCAAAAGTTGTGAAATTGTCATTTGGCAACATAATTGGCAACATAAATGTGAGTTTACAATTACCCGGTCGTGAGGGCTATTTTGACAAATCCTTTGCGGTTTTTCAAATACAGATTCATTGTGTTTGGTTTGGCGTCCAGTGATTCGCGACCCCCGCCAACAACCAGCGCCACCACTTGATTGCTGCTCTCACTATATGTGCGATAAATGCAATAATACTGTATTATTAATACCATTAGTAGTTTTATGAATTTTTCTGTAAAAAATATATAAAGATATACATGTATATAAAATTCTTTATATGTACTAATCCCTAAACTCCCCCGAACCGAATTTTAAAGTCCCTGAAACGATATTTAGCCCCACCCTACCCTTTTATTAGTTATGCCCTTTATATTATTCATACGTAAATTAAAGTTCCATTAAACTATGGTCCTAAACTATGGCACTAAAAGTTCATGGTTCAATTAAATTCATAATAAATATCTTGGCATAAGTAATAATAAAGTTCTAAGCACGCATCAAAAAGTTGTCAAGTCCCAGGATCTGTATCTATACTAATTCTATGAGTATTTATTAAAATTATTCATATATTATATAAAGAATATTTAGAATAAACCTCAAACACCATTCAATAGAGCGTATACTTGAGCCAATTAATCCTAAACACAAAAATAAAAGTATATTGCATCTTTTTATCTGCATAATTACCTCGTCATTTCACAAATAAAATACAAATAATTATGTAATACCTAAGAAAAGAAATATATCTCGATGGATAGGGAGCCAGAAATTAATGTCAAGCGTAACTACCCTGATGTTAAAGCCTTTAAACAAGTTCAAAAATCCTGTGCTTTGTGTGACAAAATTACCAATACATGACATAATTAACACTCCATGCGGGTGAACAATAAATAAATAATTGTTACCAGGATCTAAATCGTGTGTTTTAAGTAGTTTTAGTGGGAAATAATCAGCGAAATAGTGCCAAACACATAGAGTCCTAAACCACTGACTCCCACGTCCACCTAATTCAACAAATATTATTTTGAAACTCACAATTATTATATAAGCACACTTACCCCGATTGCAAATATCTCTGTCAATATAAATGTACGCAAAATACAGCAAGGCTATGTAATAATACGGTGTAATTAGGAGATAAATGAATAATACGGTAGAAAATAAAGCAATTGTAGGAATCACAAGATTTACATAATAACACACGAAAAATAATTGAAGGTATTGCACAATAAAGTCTAATGTTTTAGCCATGTTGTTTATATAACTATTTAAAAAGGTTTAAAATAAACAGCTCAAAATTAATTTGACTATTAATTCTTAAGAAACTTAAAATCATAGTTTTTAACAAATATGTTTTAACAAAAT